CGGAGTTAGGAAAATGGGCCGAGGCCCAAAATCAAAGACTTACTTCTTGGGCCTAAAAACGATATATTCAAGGCCTGTTACGCTTGGTAAAGTGTACAGGCGAAATGTTCAACACCACACTTTACCGTCTCAACCGCTTGTACGGAGAAATGTTCAAACTGAAATAACCAGAAAAGACCAAACTTCAGATGGCGGCAATCCCGTACGACATTCGCTGCGCGCTTCTCCTGAATCATCACGCATCGTCGTTATCATCACCATCATCGTCCACGTCATCGCCGTCGTTATCCACCATTCGGTCCCTCAGCCCCACCCTTCTCGGCTCGCGCGCCTCCGCGGCGCGTCGAGTCCTCTCGCTGTCGACCTCGTGCTGGACGACGTCGTTCCGGCTCAGAGCCTTCTCCACCGACCCCGGAGAGGCCGCCGCCGTCAAACTTCCGGAGAAGCCGTCGATATGCACGGCCGATGAGCTCCACTACGTGTCCGTGCCGAACTCCGATTGGAAGCTCGCGCTATGGCGATACCTCCCGTGCCCCAAGGTACTAAATTTACTTTTCAAAAAGGAATTTATTTCTGTTCAATTTTAAAATTTTGATTTAAATGAATCAATTCTTAGGAATTAATACTTATAATTTACGAGAAATTGAGGTTGAGTGAGTGTTTACTGAAACAGGCGCCTCAGAGGAAACATCCATTGCTGCTTTTGTCAGGAGTGGGGACCAACGCCATTGGATATGATCTCTCTCCCGAGGTAACATTACATTTGCATGAAATAATTGTATTAATCTCTCAATTAATCGTTAAATTAATGTATCTAATTAAAAAAAAGAATCATTTTTCTTGTTCTTGTTAAAATGTTGTTAATTTATAGCCAGATGATAGAGAAAAATTGTAAAAAATCTCAATTTCACGACTTTATTCTTAATTTTTGCAAAAGAACACTAGAAGGAGGGAGTTTTCAATGTCAATGTGTGCATTTGACTTGGTTTATTTGTGATTGCTGATGGAATGTGGCATATCTGCAGTCTTCGTTTGCGCGTTACATGTCTAGGCAAGGATTCGAGACCTGGGTTCTCGAAGTTCGTGGTGCTGGACTGAGCGTGCAAGAATCGGATCGCAAGGAAATTCAGCAATCTGCCCATGAAAGGTCTGAAGAGATGGAAGCTGTTTCTGAGAGTGCAACTGATGCAGCTTTTCCTGCTGCCTCAGCACCTGAGACTCCTGCTCAGGAAGAAAAAAATGAAAATTCAGCTTCTAAGAGTGCACCTGATGCAGCTTTTCCTGTTGCCTCGGCACCTGAGACTCCTGCTCGAGAAGAAAAACATGAGAATTCTTCTTCTAAGAGTGCCACTAATGGAGCATTTTCTGCAGAAAAGCAGTCTGGTGCCTCAGCACCTGAGGTTCCTGCTCAAGGAGTGATTTCAGCTTTCAGTGGAGACGTTACAAATATATTAACTGTAGGGGATGAATCAAAATCAGTGACAAAGTTGACAGAAAATTTTACGCAGCTGTCAGAAAGATTTTCTGGCATTCTCAGTGAAGGTCAATCGACGATCATGGCTGCTAAGTTGCTTGACCAAATTTCAAAACTGTTCGCTGGTTCTGCATTATCTGAGCGTATTAATGAGATAAGCTATAAGATTTCAGGCCTGTTAGAGACAAGACAAAACTCAGCTATTGCTAGCCAGATCAAGGACCTCAGTCAAAGGCTTGTAAATATCATTGAAGAGGGTCAGCGATCAGTTTCACCTCCATTGTTTGACTTGCAAGAGCGTTTTAATTCTACGCTGGAAGATTTCCAGAAACAACTTGAATTGATGGTGAAATATGATTGGGACTTTGACCATTACTTGGAAGAGGATGTACCTGCTGTGGTGAGGTGACAATTTATCTTGATGGAAGGCTATCATATGATTGCCCTTTTTGAATTTAGTCTTTAGGAGAAGCATCCATTTGGATTACACGTAGTATCTCTTCTATTATATTGAATCAAATAGTTTTCCTTCCTTTTACATGATGAATTTATAGTCTTCAATGTTAATTTACAGATGGACTATATAATGGCAGAAAGTAAGCCAAAGGATGGGAAGTTGTTAGCTGTTGGACACTCGATGGGTGGTATATTGCTTTACGCAATGCTTTCACGATGCGGTGAGATTCCCTTTTTTCCCCATGCATTTCCTTTTCTTTATTTGCCTTTTGGGTGGAATTCGCTGCTCTATGTATTATTGTTGATACTTGATTGGTTGAATACCCGTTATTCATGTGCTGTTTTTCTACCCCTCACGCGGTGTTCTAATGTGTTATTTTCTTTCCCCAGTACAATTGAGTCCGGTTGAGTGTTATGAAATTTTTTTCTTAAGAACTTGCTTAAATACTGATAGCAGATTTGATTGAATGCTTCCAGTTTTGGTTCCATGATATGCTTTGGTACCATTTTCATTTCGTAAAACTTTGTAAGAAACGCTCCAGCATACGAGTCTGATACCTTCATTTATTTCATCTTTAAGGTTCTGAAGGAAGAGAGTCCCAATTAGCAGCTGTTGTAACAATAGCATCATCACTTGATTACACATCTTCAAAGTCAACTCTCAAACTGCTCATACCCCTTGTAAGTGGATGCAGAGTTGCGGTAGATCATCTCTAAATTAATTACAATGAATGTGTGATTGTTAGTGTAGCTTAAACATTGTTAAGGAACTAATGTTAAGGAACTTGTCATGTAGGCTGATCCCGCCCAGGCTCTCAATGTGCCAGCTATTCCTTTAGGAAGTCTACTGGCAGCAACTTATCCTCTCTCAACCCGTCCTCCTTATGTTTTCTCTTGGCTCAATAACTTGATTTCAGCAGAGGACATGATGCATCCGGAGTTGTTGGAAAAGCTTGTTTTGAATAACTTTTGTAAGTATTCCTACCGACACGATATACTTTGTCAATTTCATTCGAGAAATTCAACAAGTCAACCATGATGAGTGGTTATTTAAAAAGTTGTTGCTAGAGCCACTCTTCATGGATGTCTCTAACTGATTCATCAAGAAGTCAACCATTAGTGATTCTGTGCTTTTTACAAATGGCAGGCACCATACCCGCAAAACTTCTATTGCAGTTAACAACAGCTTTTCGGAAGGGTGGATTACGTGACAGGAGCGGTGCCTATTTGTACAAGGATCATATAAACAAAAGTAGTGTCCCTATTTTGGCACTTGCCGGAGACCAGGATCTAATTTGCCCACCTGAAGCGGTTGAAGGTAAAATCTCAGCATAGATGGCTTATATTTTCTCTAAAGTTTCTGTGATTCGCACTTATGATACTTTGGTGAACCAGAAACCGTGAAGCTGATTCCACAGCACCTGGTTACATATAAACTATTCGGACAACCGGGTGGTCCACACTACGCTCATTATGATTTGGTCGGAGGAAAATTGGTACGAAGTTTTCTTCTCTCTCCCTCCCTCTCTTATGGTACAATAGTGTGACGTTCTCAATTGATATATATATATATATATATATATATATATGTTTGAACTGCAGGCAGTGGAGCAGGTCCATCCATGTATAGTCGAATTTCTTTGTCGGCACGACTCAACTTGATTACCAAAACCATGAAACAATCCCTTCAATTTGTTACGGGAGTAAGCTTGATTTCACAACCAGCTTGAAAGGCTTTCATCATCTTTATCGGTGCACGACCTGATCAAGTTCTTTACGATTTCCGGGTGCAGACCTAAAGTATAAGTTAATACACAGGACACTTTTTGTTTGAGGACGCATGGTGGAGGCGAGTTTTAAGGTTTTTATACAACAAAACACAGTTTATCACATTCAACATTTTGTCAGCAAGGAGTAAAGTAGTGAATACGAAAAATTATTGTATGATACTGGAATATAGTTACGTGGTGCAACCAAGTTATGGATTGCAAACCCACATGGCCGTATATCAATCTCTTGTTTTCTTCCTTAGATTCTTCAGTACTAGTACTATCGAAAGTGTTATATTTCATCATTTTTATTAGTCTCTTTCTCATCACGTGACCTTCCGCTATTTCAATAGTACCTTTTATCAATAAATTTCATGGGGCGGTGGAAAAACAAGTAAGGTGTTGAGATCTTATTATCTGAAAGCTTCATGTCTTGTATTTTAGAGGGCATGCCGGAGTGGGTTGTAGGGCATTGGTGTTCCCTCGAAAAGTAACAATCGTGGAATTTAACAGAAGTAGGTCAACAAATAGAACCAAAGCTTTAGAACTCGTTTGGAAACGTTTTTAAAATGACTGCAAACATTTTTGATGAAAATGTTTTTAAAACTAATATTTAGTAAAAATGTAAGTAAATTGTGGAAAAACATTTAAAAGTGTTTCCTGGATGACACATAAACTAGTGTGTTTCTTACAGAAAACACTTCAAGTGCTTTTAGAACCTAAAAATATTTTTTCTAGAAACGCTTTCAGTCATACGAAGATTGGAGTGATTTTCATTTTCTTTTAACTTTTAATTGACTGTTTTATTGTATACATGCAGCAATTTTGTAGTAGATTTCAGATGCAGCAATAACAAGAGAGTTTCGATAATACCATGGTGTCGAAATGAACACGTATGCATGCATGTTTTTTAATTCGTTATAAGTTCGTCGAACCAGCTGATGAATCGATCTCCTGCGTCCGATTTCTGTTGAATTCCGACCTGAAATTTCAAACCCTTAATCTGTAGCAAGCTTAGGTTGCAGAATCTAACCAATGCAGTCACAATCACAGAGACCATCCCTTGTCGTTGTGGTGTTTTGTTCCTAACTTGTACTTGCACGTTTTGTAGCAGCACAAGTAGATAAGCAAACACATAACTGAATGATTGGTAATGGAAGCAGACGGATCTCTGTCTTCCATGTTACAATGTCTACTCACTACCGCTTCCGGTATAAATATGTGTGTATACATACATATACATATATACATACATGTCTATATATATACATACATACATACATATATATATATGGTAGCAGATGTTGTAATGACTAAGTAGTGAGTCAGATTTAATGGATCCAAATGCATTAAGCTTTCTGGTCAGTCCTTCAACCTTCCAGTCAGCTTACTACGAAGCCAAAGAGAATGATGGCATCATTGATCTTGGTCTTAGCCTCAGAGCTCTGCAGCCTGAAACTTACCATCCATCTGCACATTGTACGTTCCTTCTTCCTCCCTTTTTCTTCTTCGACCTCTTCTACGAGAGATATTTTAAACTACTAATCTGCAGAAAACGGAATTCGAACTTGGTTCAAGACAGGCCAACTGGCCAAACTCACATGTGTCTGTTTTCATTTTTTTTTTACATTGCATTTACTTTTGTAGTGGTGAGCTTGGAGGGATATGATGATCTGATAGATTGGCCCCAGGCTAACCTGAACTTGAAGAACACTAGCATTCTAAACGTGAGAAGTGTCGCGGAAGATTGCGACGAAGAAGCAGAGGGAGTGCAAAGCAAGGAGAGGAGGGCTTATGTGAAGGTTAACATGGATGGGCTTGTTATTGGCAGGAAAGTCTGTATTCCTGATCACAGTGGTTACTCGAGTCTTGCATTTCAGCTGGAAGACATGTTTGGTAAGTAGGAGGATAAGAAAACCTAAGAAAGTGAGGATCTTTACGCTCACAAATTAATAAGTGGTGCATTGATGTTTCAGGTAGACAATCTGGATCTGGGTTAAGGTTATTTCAGGATGGGTCCGAGTTTTTGCTTTTTTACAAGGACAGAGATGACAATTGGCGAACTGTCGGTGATGTTCCATGGAAGTATGTTCTTTTATCCTTTACTTAGACCTTGTCAGTAACCATTTTGTTTTTTGCTTTAGTTTTATTTCTACTAAAAAAAATGATGACAAAAAACTAAATGAAATGGTTATCAAATAACTGCTTGAATTTTGATTGCATTTTCCAGTTTATTAAGGACTATATTATTGAAGTTTTGTTTTGAATTGTGACAGGGAATTCGTAGAATGTGTGACGCGAATGAGGATTGCAAAAAAGAATCAAGCTTTTCTTTCACCTCCTTTGAAATTTAACTAATTTTTCGTTTTCCACGTTGTTTCATATGTTCTTAGAGACAGTTTAACGTTGGAAGTTGGAACACCATTTCAACTACAAAATAGTGTACTCATCTGTTTAATCTGAGGGATTACTTTAATGTCCTAAATCATAAAAAAAAAAAAAAACCAACAATAGCATGTTTGCATGCACAAGAAGTGGTAAGAAAGGCTTCAAGCTAAACTTTTAATAACGCTTAGCCCTCTAACTAATTATTTATTTCTTTATACATGTCTCTTGCATCACGTGAAAATATCTAATTACACATAAGATATCGTCGATATTACTGACTCGAAGACGATAAACATTATCGAGTTTGTTTAGTGCAGTGACTAGTGCGTGAGAAAATCACAATCTACAAGGACACTGAAAGGCCAGTGACAGAATGCAGAGCCAGACATAGTTAGACCAAATACAATCCGAGTCTCCGACAAAGAGACTCAGCTTTAAGTCAATAGAACAGAATACGTAGATTAATTACTAATTACTTGACTGATCAAAAGGACAGCTGGAATCTTGTTGCAGATTGACTAACTAAATAGTTTGGTGGAGCCCACTCCCCCATTATTCGCGCTAAATGGTGGGTAAATAGATAATCAACTGTCTTAATCGTACCGTTTTATAATGCGATGAAATCATGAAAACAGACAATTCAGAACACTTTCCAGCCAGTTGCTAACAAAAGACAGTTTATATTCTACCTTAAATGTTTTAGTCCAAGTTGCGATAAACGAGATTCGGTAAACACTTTCGCTCTAACCAATGTGGCGTATCCAACGTCTGTTGCTAACTTAACAATGTATAAATCCAATGGCGATTATCGTTCATATTCTGAAGGGGAAGGGCGAACCCGTTTCGTTCAATGATTCAAAGATTATCTGTGGAGATGGGGGTAAAGAACAAGAAACAAATCAGCAACTTCATTAACCTACAAGAACAAGAAGATACAAAAGGTCTGAAATAACAGCATGAAGACATCATCGTTCACAAATATATTAGTTAAGGGCCAATTCACGCACAGTTAACAATGTTCTTTCAGCAGACCTACCTCATCCTAGCTCTATCAAATGACAGTAGGAAAAGCAGAAATCTTACTGTCGAAACGCCTACGCTAAATACACAAATGCACGATCACTAATGCATGATCACTAAGATTGAACTAACTCAAACATCAAGCTTCACAAGTGGATTGAATTTGCCGCTATCATATCTCAGACAGCAGACGTGGCCAACCTGTCCAAAGCATCGGATATGTGCCTCATTATCGGTCTCCTTTCAGGGCTGCTGTGAACGCAAGCCATTGCGATCTTCAGAACCGCGATAATTTCTTCTTCCTTATCCACATCTTGCATCAAATTTGGATCTAAAACATCTAAAAGAGGCTTCTTCTCTTCAATGTTGAGCTGAATCCAATGAACCAGGTCCATTTCTGCGGAACCCACTTGGACTATTGGCAATCTTCCGGTAATCATTTCGAGTAAGATTACCCCGTACGAATACACATCCCACTTCTGTGATGGTTTCACCACTTTCAGAGCTTCTGGGGCCTGATAACAAGATCCCAAATTGCTGGACGAACTAACCAGAGAAGCTTCAGTTGGCACTGCACTCGTTTGTTGCCTTTCTTGTGATATTTCTGTGGGGATTCGGTTGGATTGCAGTGTCGGGGACCCTCCAGCAATATTTGCAAGGCGTCCAAGTCCGAAATCAGAAATGTGGGGTTCCATGTTCTGTCCAAGCAGTATGTTATTCGGCTTCAAATCTCCATGGACATATTTCTTGGGGCTAAACTCATGAAGATAGACCAAGCCTTTTGCAATTCCTTTCATGATATTCAACCGAACAGACCACGATACTGGTGTAAATGATACCGGTCCTGGCTTTCCTAATGACAGAACAAAACAATCAAATCAACAAAAACAACACATTTATAATTTTATTCGCAAATCTGAGTAAATACACCTACCATTAGCAAGAGAGTATAACAACCACCAACAAGAGTATGAGTAACCAAAATAGACAAGGAAAAATGGTAAGCTCACCGTGAATGGCGGTTGCAAGGCTGCCATTAGGAATATAGTCATATATGAGCAGCTTTTCATCAACAGACCAGTAATAAGCCCTCAGAGTAACCACATTAGGATGTCTTAGCTTTCCAATTGCTTCAACTTCGGTCTGAAATTCCTTGAATCTCTGGGAGCCCCCTTCGCCCAATCTTCTCACTGCTACTGTGATTCCTTCTTCAAGCACAACTTTGTAAACAATTCCAATTCCACTTTTTCCAAGAACAAAAGCAGACGCCTTAAGAAGCTCATCCAGATCAAATGCCACTAGTGTATCCAATGCCACTAGATCATAGTGCTCCATATTCTCCGATAAAGTCTCCGATTCATCTTTCCTGAAGCACAAGCACTCTTTCCTTCGCTTACCTCCCTTGTCATAACCATTTTCATCCTTAACCTTACTACAAACCCAAAACCTCGAATAACAATATGAGAAAAGCAGCCCAACAAGGCAAATGCCAATTACATCACTCACTATAATTGCAATGACAGCTCTTTTACTCAACCCTCTTGCTTTCCCACTCTTTCCAGCATTATCATCAGAATCCTGAGGGGGGGAGTTATCTGGCAGATACGGAATCGAGGATGGTGGACTAGCACCGGAAATTTCAGAAGAACAAGGGTTCTTCAATGGGGGGCCACAAAGATTAGGATTCCCAATAAAAGCAGTTGGTCCTCTGTTCATCAGAGCACCATTTTGCGGTATCGGACCACTCAAATTGTTGTAAGTAAGATCAATGTAAACCTTCTCAGGAAGATTTCCAAGGCTTGCTGGGATTGCACCCGAAAACAGATTATGAGACAAATCAACAGTGCCTTGCAAGCTAGACAGATTTCCCATATCGCTAGGAATCGAGCCACTGAACTTATTGAAAGAAAGATCAAGTTTTTCCAGAGAAACAAAACTACTTCCAAACCCTTCTGGTAGAAAGCCAGTGAAATTATTCTGACTAAGATCGATGGTTCTGAGCCTCTTGCATTGTATAATCGACGAGGGCAACGACCCATTAAACAAATTTTCTGATAAATCTAGGGATTGAAGGTATATGAGCTTACCAATCACATTTGGGACAGACCCAGATAAGGAATTTCCATAAAGCACCAAACTTTGGAGCCCCAGAGCTTGGAAAAGCTCAAGGGGCAAGCTTCCGTACAACATATTGTTCCTTAAATTGACATGGCGGAGCTCGGAGAGGGCTCCCATGGCGGAAGGAAGAGACCCTGAAAGTTTCTTCTTTGGAATGCTGAGAGAGACAACCCTTTGGTCCTTGCATGTAATCCCATTCCATGTGCAGGGGTTGGAATCAGAGGAGTTCCAGTTGCTTAGAGACCCTTCTGGGTCTTCTGCAATGGAATGCTTGAACGACAAAAGGGCATAGCCTTCGTCGTTCAAAGAATCCACCAGGCAATGGGAGTTGCAGAGCAGCAGAAGTACCAAAACTAAATTATAAAACATTTCCGGCAGAAAATTGCAGAGTCAGAGTTCAAGGGGATTACCTTTACTTTCTCTGCAGCGGAAACCAAGTGAAGGGTTTTGGAGAAAGCAGAGAGAGTCAATGGAAGTGGAGCGAAAGGAAGTGTGAAAGCTTTGACAGTGATGGACAATGGTAGAGGCTCAGCAAGCACGGACCTTGGGACTATAGAGAACCCAAAAGAAAATGGCAATGGCAAAAGAAAATGGCAAAAGAGTAGGTTGGTGTGGGAATCCAGACGATACTGTCACTCAAATCCCTCAAATTCAACTTATCGCGATATTTTGTTGGACACCAATCACCATTCTTTTGTTTAAGAAACATTGCGTTGATTATTTTTATGAGACTCACGACTTTGTGCAATCTTTAGGTTGTGTTTGTTTCCATTCATTAAGTCTCACTAGACTGGATTGGACTAAAAGTCAGTCTAATTTTGTGTTTGTTACAGGGAGGGATTACCTTTAATGGTATTAAGTGGGACTCGTCCCGACTAACACCTTCGTTAGAAGGTCTTAGCGAGACCCCCCAAATACGAGAGGACTGCTAAGCCCCTTCTCGCTTCGCTCGCTTCACTTCATCTGCTTCGTTTCGTCTTCTTCATATGCTTCGTTTGTTTCTGTCTTCTCTTTGCACCGACAGCCCCACCCACCCCACTCCTCTTCTCCGACAGCTGTTCAATTCACCTCTAGTCTGCTTCTCTCCTCTTTGCACCGACATCCCCACCACCCTACTCTTCTTCGTCGTCACGCAAATTGCAGATTCTTCTTGAAGCGAGAGAGGAGAGATTCGTCTTGCAGCAAGAGAGGGGAGATTCGTCTTGTAGTCTTTGGGGATTCCTTTTTTTCTTCTGTTTTTTTTTTTTGAACAAATGCTTTGTCTGTTTGATTGCTGGTGTTCTGCCATTTGATTACTGGTGTTCTGCCATTGATCTTTGGATGTTTGATTTTTTGGTGTCTATATTTCTTATTTTACTTTTTTGTAGATCTTTGGAATCGTCTGAGTTGGTATTTAAACTTGATTATATTTGATAAAGTTTATACATGATTTATTACATATTTTCTTGATTAATTTTGAAATGTTAATTGAGGGTTATCTGAAATAAGTGTGATCTGGGTTTTCTGAAATAAGTATGATCAAAATATAGTATCTAAATTTAATAGTTATCCTGCTTCTTAGTCCGACACTGCATCAAACACTTCATTAAATCAGTCCAACTTAGTCTAGTCTAAGCTAGTCCAGCTTAGTCCCTGAAGTTAGTCCAGTCCGAGATAGTCCGGTGCAACAAACGCACCCTTAGTGTTTAGCACAATGTTTTATAAAATTAACATATAAATTAACGTTAAATTATGAAGTAACAAATAATTTATGAATAATCTACTTTTAAAAAAGTTTTGTTAGCATTTCTCAATTTATATTAAGAAAAGGGAGTACCGTTTAGAATCCAAACTATAGTGAATTGAGGAGAAAAATTTTAATTAATATAAGGCTCGTTGAATGTGATTTTAAAATGACTGAAAGAGCTTTTAAAGAAAATGTTTTTGGATTTCAAAAACACTTTAAGTGCTTTCTACAAG